TCACCTATGGTCACAAGCTGTGTGACCGAAAGAACGAGATCGCGGATACAAGCGGCGGAAATGGGTTTCCTCCGAAGGGTGGCTGGCCTCTCCCTTAGAGATAGGGTGAGAAGTTTGGCCATTCGGAAGGGGCTCAGAGTAGAGCCGTTGCTCCTCCACATCAAAAGGAGCCAGTTGAGGTGGTTCGGGCATCTGATAAGGATGCCCCCCTGGGCGCCTCCTGGGTGAGGTTTTCCGGGCATGTCCCACCAGGTGGAGGCCCCGGGGCAGACTCAGGACACGCTGGAGAGATTATATCTCTCGGCTGGCCTGGGAACACCTTGGCATTCCCCCGGATAAGCTGGAGAAGGTGGCTGGGGAGAGGGAGGTCTGGGCTTCTCTGCTTGGGCTGCTGCCCCCGTGACCAGGCCCTGGATAAGCGGAAGAAAATGGATGGATGTTAAAGTTCATGACAGTACAATTGCATAACTAAAAATGACTGAACAAGTATAGGTTGTTTGGAAAGATGCCAGGAGAAAGCCTTTTCTCTTTAAAAAAAATCAATGCTGTATAGCTTGGGCGGGCAAATTTGTATCTTAACAAACCACAAGACTTTTGGTCATTTTGGGACACACAAGATTAAAGTTGCAATGTGTGGCCTTAGTGACACATTTGCCAAATACAAAACACAGGATGTTATAAACACCCCATACCAACTATTAAACACGTTGGTAGACGGGTGAGGATTCAGGTTTGTTTTGTAGCCATAGAATCTGGCTATTGGAGTTATTAGGTTAACCTGAAGTCTTCTGTATTCTTAAGTCATATGTCAAGTTGTCTGCGTCATGGCTACAGCTTAGTCCAAATTGGGTCATACAACAAGACTGTGATGGCAAGTACAGCAAATCTAAAAATTAATAGTTGGAAAAGAAAACGATCAAGGTATTCCAATGGCCCAGTCAAAGTCCAGAGCTCAACCAGACTAAAATTCTGTAGTAGAACTTTTTTATATTAAAAAAGAATCAAGCAAAATACTATTTCTGTATCTACTTTTTTCCACACCAGCTTGATTTTTCTTAGTAAAATTAAAAACCAACTCAAATGGTATTCTTTCCTGATTGTAATATCATTGGGTGCGTGCTGATAGTCTCCATCTCCACCTTTCAGTAATATCACTACTGGACACTGAAAGGAAATTGCAATACAAACCTGGGGTCAGGCGGGCAGCAGTTATGAATAAACGTGAAACCAAATTTTGGCCACGCAATCAAAAGTAACCTAATCTGTAACTGTGTACGGATCATGTAAATATACTACTACCACTACAAGTACTAGTACTATTACTACAACTACTACTGCTAATAATACGTATGTGGATGTTTGCAGGCCTGCACCAACTTTAATGACAGTGGGGCATGTGTGACCCAGTGCCCTCAGCCATTTGTCTACAACCCTACCACCTTCCAGCTGGAGCATAACCCTAGGGCAAAGTACACCTATGGAGCTTTCTGCGTCAAGAAGTGTCCACGTAAGTCTCACCACCTGGACGAACACGAACAAACATACATACACACACAGACAAACACACCCCCACACACATACATGCATACTGCTTTAAACATTAATCTTAAGTCATAACCTCTACATAGCTACACTTTAAGTACTAATTTAATGTGACAGTTTCAGTTTACTGTGGATAATTACACCTGCCTCCATGTGCAGTCCATCAGCTGATTTCCTTGGTCTTCGAGACCCACAAGCAGGAGGAATGGACAGTAGCAATGCCTGTTATGTTCTTTATAACCCTCATTTGCATTGGACTGGAAGATAAATGCAGCTGCTTCTTGAATTGCATTTACTCCTTAGGTTTTTCATAACTTTCTCATTACTGCTGGTAGATCATTTTTAGGGCAAATACTAGCAACATAAATATAGCTTGTCTCTTTCCTAAAATAGTCTTTGTGTGTGTGAGCGTGACGATGTCTGTGAGGATGAATTTGACTTTTACAGTTTTGTAAAAGGGACATTTTGCAAAGGACTTTTATTTTAATTTCCGCAAATGGCTGTTTAAGAGTAAAACTTGTATAAAGTTTTGTGTTAGGAGTAGAAAAAGTCAAGTTACATCATTAAGTTTTAAAGTTTAGGTCAGAATAAGAGGCATGGGATGTATTTGTTAGGCTGGGTTCTCACATTTGTGTGTTCTGTGTTCAACATATAAGTTGGCAGTCCAGGATGTACATAGCCTCTCACCCTGTGAAAGCTGGTTTAAGTTCCAGCATCCCCACGACCCTAAATTAGATAAGTGGTTAAGAAGATGGATGGATGGCTGACTTGCTACACTGCTACACTTCTTGGGGGTACATAAATGGTCAATGGTCATTCCAACATGTCATCTTGACAAGCAGTCTTGTTTGCAAAGCCAGTACAGGTGATGGGGAAGCAGAGGCCTGCGTCTGCATTAGCAGCATATCTCTTCTCACTCCTGTGTATAATGTTTAGTCATTTTATTCATAAATTATTCTTTGGCCACTACTAACCACAAGCTAATCACTCACCACACCCACAGCTAATTGTGGACACCCCATGCTGTTCAAAACATCACTGAAAAGGCCAACCAGCAGGGAGGGAAGGGGAGCTCTGCGCTTCGAGGCATTGTTACTTTTAAACAGACAGGATAGAGAATAATATAAACATTTAACTGTTTACTGTTTTTTTTTTTTTTCGTTTGGTAGTTTTTCACATAAATCTTATGCAAAATAAGTAAATAAATAACCAAATAAATAAATAAAAATAATGGTGAGGCAAAGTCACTTTCAAAGTCACTTTCAGCACTTTTTTTATGTGATTGCCTACACTCCACTGCCACTTATTGTTCTGTATGTTCCAGTGTGACAAACAGCAGCCATCTGTATTTGACATTTACAATGAATTGTTTTCCAGATAACTTTGTGGTCGACCACAGCTCCTGTGTGAGAGCATGCCCCAGTAACAAGATGGAGGTGGAGGAGAATCGCATTAAGATGTGCATCCCTTGTACTGACATCTGTCCAAAAGGTAAAATTCAAACATATAGTTGCAGCAGATAATTAGTTTCGCTATTGGGTTTATTTTGGCAAATGCAGGAAAAGTACATGTTGTCCTGGTTGCATCAAACCCTTAATCTACCTCGAATTTTGCATGTTTGCACCATTGGATTAATTGATGCATTGTTTTCTCTTCATGGTTTCACTGTTTCTTTCAGCATGTGATGGAATAGGCACAGCAAGCCTCCAGACTGCTCAGACAGTGGACTCCAACAACATTGACAAGTTTGTCAACTGCACCAAAATCAATGGCAACCTGGTGTTCCTCATTACTGGAATCAAAGGGTGAGAGCTGAGAAGATTCAGCTTATCAGAATGACTGAAGACAGTGTGGGAGAAAAAAAAAATCTGCCTAAATATAAAATGGCTTTTCCCGTTCCATTCAGCCTTTCTGTATTCAGCTGAGCGAGCACTGAGCATTCACAGTGGATTGTTGAAAAAGAGCCCACAGGTACTGCACACCTCACTGAAGTTGGAAGTAACTAAAAGTAAAAATCTGCAGCTGCAAGTCCACTGTGACCATTTTAGCCTTCAACTAGACTAAGTGTGCACCTGTTGGTCTCACAGCATAGATGGTGTGTTTAATTTGGGTCACCTGGCATACCGATTGGGAGATTGATTCAATTATTAATTAAGATAGATGATACTCTTCAGCTAACACACAAGTGAACATCCATGATGGACACATTTAGAGCATGTGTGCTTAACAGATGTTAGTTTAGAGTGGCTAAGTGTGACCTCTCTGTGCAAAGATCTCTCCGGGGCTGTGTCAGCTTCTCCACCGCTGTACCTGCTGACTGCTTCCTTCCTTTTATTCTCCATTCTCAGTCTCCTTTATTGAGTTGTTCTCTCAATAATCAGAAACTTTGTTTTTGACTCAAAATTGCAATTTGAAATAAAATTGATTATAATACTTGTGAAAATATTTTAAATACCATCGAGCTATTAACAGTGTGATACAGATTGAATCAAACTGTTAATTGGATGGATTAATCTGAATAATGTTAGTGGTTAGTTATGTCTGCATGGATATACAGTACTATTTGTTTGCATTCATTCATATGTATTTAATATAGTTCACTTAAAATATCCCAATCAGGTATTCTCAGTTTACCTCTTCAGCTGGTAAATGTAGCAAACTTTTCTTACCTGTAAGTAAGAAGATTTCCTGTAAATATCGCATTTTTGTTGTACATGTACAATGAAAATAAAGGACTATTTTATTCTTTTCTAAGTAGGAATATCCTTTACACATACAGATGGAAATACTAAAACACATTCTTTTTTTCTTTTACTTGATTTGTTTTTGTCATTCTGATCTCTCTTTCTATTCACAGGGATGTCTATCATAACATTGAAGCGTTGGACCCGGAAAAACTCAACGTGTTCCGCACCGTTCGGGAAATTACAGGTAAGTGTATAAGTTGCACTGCATTGGTCTTATACCAATGTATTGTATGTATTTAAAGAAAGAACAAATGTTTACTCTTACTATCATCTCTTTTCTTGAACAGGAAAGTTTCACATCAATGCTTATAAATACTTGCATGTATCAGCATATGTGTATTTCTTCTAGTCCTCCCCTCCTCTTGAGAATGTCCAAACCAAGGACAGGCCTTGCAGAATAAGATGAATATCATATGAGTCTTTCAGTCTCCTCTTTCTCTCTACTGCTTCTCCCTCAGGGAGTCCCTATCCTTGAGTCCCACAGCCCCAGCTCTCCCTTCACGCACCATGAAGAAAAGAGCCAAAACACGCGGTGCACATCGTTAATCCCCCAGCTCTCCATGCCACCTCCACTTTTTAGCTGCGTGTACACTGTCATCCTTCCAGCCCCAACATTTGACAATGCCATCAGAAGAACACATCATATCTCTGATGTCATATTTTCAAAAGCAATAGGAAAATATTCTTGTAAAATATCAGTGCTGCTATTTAGCCATGAATGACAAAAGCAGATGTCTTATTAAACAGTGCATCCCTTTCATCTGAACACCACTTATTTATTTAGGACTACATCAGTTATATTTTAAAAAATAAAATAAAATTGTGAAGTATCTAAGATGTATCTTAGATACTTTACTTTCTACATAACCAGTAGCAGTTATAATAATAAATATTGTTATACCTGATGGCAGTTACTCTTAAAAGCTAATATGGGGGGTAATAAATATACACAATCAAGTGCCAACATACATGTAGTAGTAATAGCAGTTTTCCTACTTGTTCACAATCCAAATCATGTTTTTGAGCTGCGACCACCATCTGTCTATATAATCTAAATGTGATAAACCACTCTGATAGAAAAAGAGTTGTATTGTTGCAGTTCAAAAGCAAACTTAAAAGGAAAGATTTAGAAATGAAATTACTAATAACTGCAGACAAAACAGCATTTTTATTATTGCACTTTCCTTAATGGAAACTGACAACTGATGTCAGTTATAACTAATATTTAAGCCTGCTCAAAGGGGGGAAAAAAGGAATTTTAAGGATTATAGTGAGTTAGGAAAGCAAGTTAAACTAGCGCAGCTGTTTTTCATTTGATAGAGTGAATTGTCCATTAATCCTATTGGAGCCATTTTGATACCCGCTCCTCGACATGCTGACGTGTCTTCAGGCAAGACGCTGAACCCAGTTGATTGAAACCTTTGCATCTGAACTCTTTGTATCTGCTAAGGTATATAAATCTCTGTATGTCCAATTGTTTACTCTTTAAACTGACTTAGATATATTCCAAAACTTGACTTCGAAGTCATTTTGTTTTCTTGCTTTTCCTCTCTGATGGTTAGTGATGACAGTTTGAAAGCAGGTGATGGAGCATAAACCAGCGGCCATGTGGTCAGGCACGTGTGTCATCTAAGCTTGTCATTTCTCTGAGCTGGCAGAAGAACGTGACTTATTACAAAAGCAGGCAACCTGCATCCATGACCCCAAGGTCACAGCTAGCGTTGCTCTGGCTTTCAAATGAGCTCTGTAGGAGGACAGCTTTCATCATCCACACCAGCACACGCATCTTTCTGTTTCAAATCAAATTCTGATCCATTATTTTTTTTGTCCTTTCGGTGGCTTCTTACCAGGTCAGGATTTACCCAAAGTGTGGGTGTAGCTGGCGCGATTCAGCATAAGTGGGTTTCTCGGTGTTGTGACTCAGAATGTAATCACTACAACTTAAGCGCTCTTAACCTTTGCTTATGAGCTCATGGCCTTCTTGTCCAAGTGGTTCCACATTTTAATTCACTATGCACATTGGTGTGCTGCTGATGTGGCTCCCAGCAGAGCATACACTCCTGATAAGTGATCTTTTTATGTGCATGAAAATTCACATGAAAACACAAAAAGTGCTAGCATAATGTTGCACACAAAATTTTTGTTGACTCACTTTTTGGCATTGATCTTTCTATCTAGTGAGGTTCCACAATCTGTCTGAAAGGATCAGGCCTACACTTTTCCCCTGTGAAGGGCCTCATGGACAGCCCCTATGTGATTGTTGATAGTGATGCAAATGCACATTAAGGCATCTAGCACAATTTAGAAACAAATTAGCTACAAAGACTTAAATCAGTTCAGTTAATTTCAGTTATCATTAATGCCAATCAGCAACAACAGTTACCTCAAGGAAGTTGAACCTCTGAATTGATAACTTGCTGTAATATATTCTTATCGCTCTTCACTGGAAGATCTATTATGAAGTTTGCCTGAAGTGTAAATGTGAAGTGTGTAGAGACCTGCAGGATATCTAATGTGTATATAGTTAGATTGTTCCAAAAATGCATTGTGACCATTTACTCTGCACAGACTTTAGGAAACATGTACAATACAATACTGGTGTATTTTTACATATGATGCACAAACTATATAGACTTCTTTTATTGTCATTGTACAGTTGCTTGCACAATAAAATTATGTAACAATTTCTATGTAACAATTTATATACATATACAGACTGCATCGCATGTCTTTGTTGCTGTATTCGTATGTAGCAGGGCACTGAACAGTCATTCTAGCTACCTTTCCAGTCACCTTTAGAATTGTACTATTTTTTTGTAGCTTAGCAGCTCAGTGCTCACCATGTTTATTAGCATTATTGTCTCTTTTACTACACCGTGAAAGTTACTATTACTTGACAGTACAATAACACAATTGCGGTAACCTACTCTTTCTAGAGTGTCTCTCTGCTTGGACAAAGACTGTTTATTTATTTATTTTAACCTTTCTTATCAACAATCTTCACCCACTTTCTGATGATAGCAAATACAGATAGCAAACGTTCGCTGCTATCCCATCCCTACATTGGAACAGACAGGAAAGAGTTCAACAGGCAGTAGACTGCTATTGTGAGTAAAGAACACCCAAAACCCTCCGAAATAGCACCGTGCCAGAACAGCGAGGTGCCTCAGCACTGCAGGTTTTGTCATTAAGACAATTAGTGTTGACAAGTACAGCGCTAACGATTCTATAGAACTGCTGCCTCTGGGCTAAGAGGCACTCACAGCATCATAAACTGCACATCATGAGAATCAAGATGGACAAATACCAAAAGTGCAATTACCTTTTATAAACCGCCATTCCCCAGCAATATATTTGACATTCTGTACGAATACCTCATAATGGTTTATATAATGGAATAAATTCCTCTTTTATCCTAATGGCTGCCATTAAGATGCTCTCATTAAAGATTCACTTTTTAAAAAAGAAAAGGGCTATATGTGTAAATGTCATAAAATGTTAAAATGTTTTTTCCATTTTGGGGAGTTGCATCTTTTTGGATGCAACTGCAATAAAAAATCATGCATGATTCCTCACCTGTTTTGGACATTTCCCAACCAAGCATTCGTAATAAGCATGTATTGAGACCCCGTCACTACTCAGACTGGATGCACTTTGTCTTTTGTCATCAAGCCAAGCGTGGCATTGTGTTGCCACAAGCTCTACTTACCTTTCTCTGCCATTCCTCCCTTCCCGGACCAACAAAATTATGCATCCTGTGGGAAGAACTCACACTGTCTAGCATAATAGAGTCTGATACTGTTTATTGACTGGAGTATTGCATGTTTAGCTTTTAAAACATGCCATTATATTTGTCTAGACTTTCCTTCCACCCCCTTCTCCTCCCCTCTTACCTCTGCTCTTCTACCCACTGTGGATTTTTCTTTGGTCTCGTAGCCTCTGTTGTTTGTCCTCTGGTGTTGGCTTGGGGATTGTAGTCCCCTACTGTTTTTTCTAATAAATATTTAATATTTCTGAATCTATTATTAAAAATCCTAAATGAGCCATGGCCATTTTCTCAACTTTTGATTTTATCTCCTAAATTATTTAACAGCAGACAGGGAAATAAAGGAAATGCAAAAATATTGATAAATCAGACTTGTTATAGCTGGCACCAAACTCCTCTGTGGCATTGCTGTGCCAGACATTTATCTGGCTTAGAAGTGCTTGGCTGATTTCAGATGAGACTCAGGTGGTGCGGTTGCATTGTTGTGTTTCTGGAATGTTGCTAATTCTAGAGAGAGGCCGGTTCTCTCTGCTCATTTTCTTCTTGTCACTGTGGAAATGGACAGTATGATAGACAGGTGATTCTGGTCTGTCAGTACTCATGTGGATTTATAACCTATGTTCATCCGTGTCTTCATTTAGGTTTTCTAAACATTCAGTCATGGCCTGAAAACATGACAGACTTGGGTGTTTTCTCCAACCTGGCTACTATTGGGGGAAGAGCATTGTACAGGTACCTGAGTGCATAATACTTTCACAAATTATTTTTCTTTTTCTTTCTTTCTTTTGTATTTTGTTTTTTGATTGTTGGGAATAGTTTATGCCAAGTTGTTTCACAAATGTCTCAATCAGAGCTCAGTACTTCTAAATCAATGGCAAGCAGGCAAATTATTGGTTTTAGATTTATTTTTTAGCTAATTGTAGCAAACAATCTCTGAAGCCACAGCTCACTGGAAAACTGAAATGAAGGGACGAAAGAAGGAGCCGATAACAGTTATTTTAGAGCATTTCATGTGCTGTGTTTTTATTATTATTACTTCTTATAATTTATTTCTATTCTCTTTTTTATGTTAAGCACTTTGAGTTAAGTTTGATTATTTCCTGTTCTATACAAATAAAGTTTATTATTATCAGTAGACTCATTTCTATTCCTTTTTGCTATTGGCATGGAGGGGCTGTACACATATTGTATGTATATGAACACATAGATAATATTTACACTACACAGCTTATCTCACAGATGTAAATTCACATGCATTGTTGCAAACTGCTGTGGTTTAAAGAAGATCGGAAAGACGAGGTTACAGCCGCAATCAAACGTCTCTACCTCTGGTGATATATTTAAACCATTTTAATGCAAACTGAAAGTGGATCTGGTTTTGTTGGATAGCCTTATCTGGATAAGTGCTATGCATGTTAATGTGTGAAGTGTAATTTTTTTTTTTGTTACTGCTGAAGAATGCTGTACTTAAAACATGACTTTCTAAAGACAGCTTAATTATTTAACCTAATTTATAGCACTTAATTATTCATCATTTAGATTTTTTTTTTTCTTAATTTGGAAAACATGCAATAAAAATGTAGCGGGATTTGGATGTAATCAAAGCGAGTGTCTGCTGATAAAGTGTAGACTGTGAGATTCAGTGTGTTTGTGTGTGTGTGTGTGTCCCTAGGCGTGCGTGTGAGAGTGTGTGCATGTGCACTGCACCTGCCTGCAGATGGAAACAGCAGGCTGCAGTACAAATTATAGCCTGCCACCCACCCCTGCCCCGTGCTTGATCCTGCATACTCTCTGTCTATCTGATGGTTCTGACACCCACTGGCATCCTGTCATTTTTAAACCATGCAAGTGGGACATATCAGGATAGCTGGGGGTAGGAAGAAAAAAGAGAGAGAGCCTAGCAGACAGAATGATTACAACACATGTTCTAAGTTGCATTGTTGCAACATAGGACAATGTGATCTCATAAAAACACAGTGTATTCTTCTTGAAATTATGATTCAGTGATAGAATTAATGTTGACTAATGAGATCACAGTTGAGATGACTGGTAGACCGCTATGATGTTTAAACAGCATTTCTACCAAGCCTGTGAAATGATTCCATCTTCTCTCTTCCCTTTCTTTTCCTCTTTTGTCCCTGCGCCACATCATTTCTTCTCCTCCTGCTCCTCTGACCTTCTTTCCTTTGCTGTCGGCTCCGTCTTCCTCTCACCTCCACCTATTCTTACCTCTCAGTGGGATCTCTCTGCTGGTGTTGAAGCAGCCGGGGATCACATCACTTCAGCTTCAGTCTCTGAGAGAGATCAGTGCTGGGAATGTCCACATTGCAGAGAACAGCCAGCTTTGCTACTACAACACCGTCAATTGGACAAGACTGTTCCGTACTACAAACCAAAAGGTTCTTATTCGCAACAACCGAAGTCCACAGGAATGCTGTAAGTTGATGCCACAATCATTCTAAACATCTAAATATTAAATATTTGGTCAACCTTGCACTAAAAAAAATGACCATATCTCATGAGTTACTTTACCAAAACAAAAATAAATGATCAAAAATGATCAAAAACCTTCACCTTGCTTTGCATGATATCAGAGGCTATTTAGATTGTATATGTACTTCTAAAGAGCTATAACAGCAAAAGAAGAAAATAGTCATCTGAACAGAAATAAAACAGAAATAAAACTTCTGCAGATTTTCAACAATGCCATTCTTGGCATATATTTACTTTTTCTTTTTTTACCGATCTAATGAATTTGATGTACTGCAATATATTTTACCACTGTCCTATAGGTCCCTCTTCCACTTACAACACAACTCAAAGTGCATTGACGCTTTTAAAGAAAACTATGTGGCTCCAAAACATTTAAGTTTTTAGTTCTCTGCCCACATCAACACCTTTCTACCAAGTTTCACGGTAGTTGGTTTGCTCTTTTTGTCACCTCCTAGCATTTGTGAAAAAAAAGCTACAGAAAATATACCAGTTGCTATAGTCTACTGCACTGTATGATACAATTATTTAGTTGCAAATTTGCTAAATATCCAATATAAACTTTTAAAAAACTAAAAAAGGTAAATTATGTTTGTATGTCCACAAACACCAAGTAGCAAACCTGTCAAGTCATAGTTTAACGACTTATGTTAAAACATTATATATGTATGCATTTGTATATTGAAGAGTTAGTGAAATCTACCACAAGAGCAGATCTTTGTGCTGCAGCTTTTGAACAGCTATGAAAACAAAGGCATTGTATGAAAATTATGTTTTAACCTCTGATTCTGGATATCCTCTGGTAGCAGGACATATTTGAGTCATTATAATGTGCTAAATGACCTCTGTGTTGTACAACCGTGATACATTTGCATATTTTAGCTGTTAATTTAACACTCACTGTCTAGCCTCAGGCACCGTCAAGAGTACGCTTTTTTTTTTTCTTCTCAAACATGTTCATATTTAAAACAGGTTGTACACTAAAGAAAGGAACGAATCTACTCAACAGTTCTTGTAGTATAGATTTAAAAGAAGTTTGAATTGTCGAACTAACAAGAAACCAACAGACAAAATTCTGCTTTCTAAGTTATCACCCAGCCTTCATAACAAAGGCATTTGTTTTAAAGGAGCTATTGTAGTGGCCATTCATAGTAAGGTTTTGAGGCTTGTATGTCTTATGAATGGTACCCATTATCTCACTAGCTTCTGAAGGACACTAAAAACAATAATTCAATAATTAAACTAATTAACATCAGGGTCATTCCGAGAGTGCAAGGTTTAGAAAAATGAAATTAGGCAAATAACTGATGTGGTGAGATAAAGATTGCATTTCTAAAAATGGAAGAGCTTTATTATATCACTGCCACAAGTGTTAAGACATTATTCATTTATGTATAATGTTCATTAATGAGCCAGTATTTGCATTATTGAGTTGGCCCCTTTTCACTGTTCATGTGCTCCTTTCCCCTTGGCACTTCCTTACTGTTGAACACACACACACACAGACAGATACACACACACACACACACACACACACACACACACACTTTAGAGTCTTTGAAGACTTTGGGTTAGTTTCAAGAGTCACATACTTGACATGGTTCTGCATGTGTGCATCAGAGTGCGCGTGTTTGTGTGTCTAAAGTTGACTGAGCCTCGTGGGGCTAGAAAAGGGCAGCTATCACACTGTTACAGTGCAGCAAAGAGTATTCTTGTGAATATGCATGCGGTTGTAGCGATTTAAGTAGTTGCTGAAACCTGAAACTAAGACATCTAGTTTTCATAGTAGTTGGAATAGAGATTTAGTGTTATAAAGTGTACTAGCATGTAAAACAAGTAATACATTCATGTTATATGGTATTAAAACACAGTTATGGTGGCTTTTTAACCATCATTTCTCTTTGAATTTGTTTACTTTTTACATATTACATTTTGGCATAGCCTAAACAGATATCAATAATAACCCAGGATTGTATGGGAATGTATATAAATGTAAATATATATATAGAAGCAAATGGGACAGTTTTCAGTTAACATTTTTCCAGACTGTATTAATTATTTTATACATATTTAGCATCAAAAGTTTATCTCACCTCATTGTGACACAGTTAAATGAAATATCCCTGGTTTGTTTCTGCACTATTTTACATGCGCGTACAGTAAAGAAAGAAAACATCAAAGCAGAAATGTTGTGGTTCTTGTGTAAATATGATTTTCATTGTGCTCACTGAATTTGCATATTTTATAATACTTTGAGAGACTGTCAGTAGCACCAGTGCTTTTTATGCAAGTCAAAATACTGTGAAAGGGGCACACATATGAATCAGTGTAATTTTCCCTACAGCTCTGATTTTCTCACAGCAAAATTTGGATAAAAAGCTGCAAGAAATACTCCCACTGATGGAAACAAATGTACTCTGATGATGTTAGAAATGTAGTTACTTCACTGAGAGAAGTCACTGGTTGCCATTGTAATAATGCTCTATTAACAAAATGTAAAATAGTACAATCATAGATCTGTTTGGTTACCTCACATACATGTTGTTTGAGAAAATAGTCAACACAGAGTCTCTCATATTGGCTCATTATTTAATTACACTATTAACTAAACAGTAAATGGCCTTTAAACAAGGTGCATTTTTTAAAATACATAACTATTTTTTTCACCTATGTTGCATGTGAAAAGGATCCCTTCTCCAGCTCCCCCTCTACTCTCTTTAGCCTTTTCACAGACTGCCCCTGAAATGTTAATACAGAAAAGAGAGGTCCCCAAAACTGGAGGCATTAATTGAGTTCCAGCTAAATCTCTCCCCTCAGTCGTGCTAATCAGCACTGTTCAGGGACAGGTTTTTTTAATCTTTATTTATTTCTTCTGATGTTTTCTTTCTTTTTCTTTCTTTCTTTTCTCTGCCCTTATAATAATTATAATCATAGCCTGAACTTTTGTCTTCCTTCAGTCTCAAAAACGCTCCTGCCAGGGCTTTTGTTAGTCAGCCATGTCAGAAACATCTGAAGTTAAGAAATGTTTTTGATCTTGTTGTATAGTTAAAAAGCCATGCAACCACCACTTCCCCTTGTTTATATCTCGCACCAATCATTCTCCCTTTTCCTCATTTCTTTCTGCCTGGTCAGTTTACCTATGAGGCTAGAAGCATGAAAGAAGTGGTTTTGTCTCTTGCGAAAGACTTTCATCCGCTTTTCTTTATGTATCTGCATCTTTTTGTCTGAATTTTTAAGCATTTGGAATAAAGCTGTGGCTATGACACTAGGGCATAGTCATTGGCTTGCATGCAGCCAGGTTCCCAAAAACAGCAGGGGACCCTTTTGTAACCATGTTCTGTAACCGCTGGCTATCGAGAAAAGAAGAGAAGAGAAAGAGAAAACCTACAAGGGGGGAAATCACGTCAGATGCAGGCGGGATGATAAAAGTTCACAGTGTATCTGTAGCGCCGTCACCGCGTTACTTCAACACTCATTTTGTCACTGTAATGTTCTGAAATGTAGCAACCTCTGTACAACTGAGTGCTAGAGGGGGACAAGAGAGAGACAGAAAGAGATAAGAGATCCAGGCCATTATAGAGCAGATGTAATGGCCTGAGTCAGTCGGTGCTATATGAAAAACATTGAGGCAGAAACACAGAACAGATTGTTCGCTACGAATGAAATGAGAGAAAGGGGCATTTTCTTTACATGACTGAGTGCAGCAAAGTATATCAGACTTACAAGTTTAACATTTGTATCTTTGTATCACAGGTGGCTTTTAGTATTGCTTTACATGGCTATCCAAACAACACTTGTTTGTGCTGTAAATGTCACGCTAAGCACTTGTGGACTGAAACCAGATACTGTTGCTAAGAAAAACAACTTCATAATATACAGTCATAGTATTCAGTAGCTGTATATTTGATTGCTTTTTCAAATTGAAAGGCTTTAATTATTTGTAAGGTTTTGTTAACTCGACTAGTCTGGCATCTGCATGTGCTTCCTGTATCTCACTCTTCATTGTTTGCACAGCAATTTTACAATGAAGCAACCCGGCCTTCTACTTTTCTAATTGCACCATATCAGTCAGTACTGTAGACACACTGAGCCCGCAGACCATTTATATTAATAGAAAACATATAGTATACACTAAAAACGAAGTGCCAACCAAGTCCTCTGATGAATTGAGTTAATTAATGTGATGTTTTTAAAAAGTTTCTGGGATACATGAGAGCATTTTTGTGGGAGGAACTAGGTCGTCTTTTAGTTCATCCAGGAGGATAATTATTCTGTCACAGCGTATTGTTTGACACTTTCTTGTTTACCGCTTTATCCCAGAGCACGTGTTTCAAACGCACACCTTTTTCCTGTGTCTTGCTGCAATTACTCTTGCCATTGTTTAGGAAAGAAGTCCCCAGAAGAAGAAGAAGGGAAAAAAGCTAGCTTTTATAGGCCAAGAATATGAACATCTGCTCTGTGGAGGCGGAGAAATTTAATGCAAAAATAAGCCTTCGCAAATTGCAAGCGTCTTAGTAAATCTAGTTCTGTGTCTTTTCATAAATAATAGGATTATTTGGCTAATTTTATACCCAGCTAATTTGGGGGAATTTAGGGTTTATTCATTGCGTCTGACACTGAGTCATCAAAGCTCAGCTGCATGCTACATGAGTATAATCCTTTGCCTTCTTTGTTTATATGTGTATTAAGCAGCCAAGGAGCGCATGGTGTGTGACCCACTGTGTTCAGACGCTGGATGTTGGGGTCCCGGCCCAGACCAATGCCTGTCCTGCCGATATTTCAGTCGTGGACGAACGTGTGTAGAATCCTGCAATCTCTATGAGGGGTGAGTCCTGAATATGCATGCACATATACATTCAGATATAGTGCTGATAAGAAGATGGAGGTGGATGAATGGTTTGTGGCTGAGTTTAATTGTTGCTACTGGACTGACTGAGAAAGAAGATGTGGCATTGTTCGTATATATAGAAGTATATATGTTGTCCTCGAATACCTGCTTGACAACAACAACAACAACAACAACAAACAGACAAACAAACAAAAAAATATATAAGGAAAGCAGTGTCTGCTATATTATGTCAGCTTATGTAAGTAAAATAAATATTCAGCTTTTTTGTTAGAACAAGTAACAGTAAAGCGGACAAAATACGACCAAACAAGTTACATTGTTACAGCTTGGCCAGCATCAGCATGACAACACTGATAAAAAAGAAAGCCTTTTATAATCAGTGACACTTATGAGAAAACACGGTTTGTATGCTTCACCCTTAGACTTTGCTTGATCAGGATGTGTTTACCACCAAAGTTAACTTTATTTTGTTAAGGTGCCAAACACATCTTTCTGCTGTTGTAGTCTATAAAAGTCCCCACAAATGCTTAGTTAATGATTACTCTTCAGATTCTTGACAGTAAAATGGGCTAGAACACCACAGAAACACAGTCACTTTTCATAAGTTATGCAAAAGGAACAGCAGCAACAGCTCTCTTTATTCTTAAGTGTGTTCGTGCCCCTAAGAGCCATGACTCTCTTAGATTGTGCCAAAACAGACCCGCTGTATGGTAAATGGGTCATATGAGTGCCACATCAGAACGTTGATCTAACATCAGAATGCTCTCATGAGTCTCATGTACAGTCCTTTACTCATACAGTTGTAGCAACAGATAATGATTGTCATGTCACCAACTCTGGGCTTTTGACGTGACAGGTATCTGTGTGGCAAAATGTAGCTACTTAAAAAAGTAAAGGAAATATATTACCCTGTTAATGCCAAGAGGGAATTTATTTAACTTGAACATATTTATGAACAAAATAAAACATGCTCACAACAACTAGGTGAGAAAAATTTGTTTCGTTTTGTTCACTGCCCTCTGAGGTGTCTTTTATTTGCTTGGTTCATTATATTCCAAGAAAAGCTTTTAAAGATGGCTCCAAACTCGCAGATTAAACAGCATGATAAGCAGTTTTGTATTTTATCAGTTCTTAAAGAAAAGTTCTTTTCAGTAGATTTTTGTCCAGATTATATTTCTGAGCAAGAGAATATAATTGCATGTTCCAGGGATAGTTTATTACCTTATTCAACAGGAGGCCAGTCAGTAGGCGCACGTGACATCTGCTGGCAAAATCATCTGAGAATATAGCTCGGCTATAATGGTACTGAAGTCAGCAATGGCAGGAGCATGCTGCATGCCTCTAAATATACGATTAATCAAATGCATCAGCAACTACCGAAGGATCTTATAAATACTATGAATAAATGCAGTTTTAATTTGACTTATTGATTTTTTTATGCTTTTTTTCATTAGACTTGTGTAATGAAATACATTGTGACATATAAAACATTTTGTGACATTAAAACAGTCCTCTATTTTTAAGACCTGCTACGCCATCTGCTCATCAAAACTTTACCTGAACAGCCCGTGGCGCTTTCATTTTCGAGTTAAGCAGTACTGTTCTGTTTACTGGGGATGATATTAAGAGCCAGGGGGTGAAAAGAACAATTTAAAATGGAGTGCTAATTTTTAGTTTAAAAGGCACCCCTGCAGAGTGTCGTAACAATAGAGGTCCCCTGACTTTAAAAGAATATATTTTGATGCTATCTACCTCCTAATGAAAGATCTGCTCCCCCAGGGAGTTTTATTAATGAAATTTTAGATGTTTTTACCCTGCAGAACAGCTGCGATGATGCTTTTAAGTTCTGTCCCAACTTGATCAGAAAAGTTTGGTGGCCACAGTGGAGAGGACAGAGGAGGACGAGGAGGTGTTGCTCGGGCAGGGGGGCTAGGCGTGTCACTGCGTGTCACAGTCACTGCTTGCGCACGGGGCCACGCCCTGCCTACCTGTCCACCTGCACGTCAGCGTCACCTACTCCATCAGCGTCACCCACACCGGCACATTCACCAAACCCAATAATTCTGTGAATGCAGTCCAAACCCTTTGCCATATCCGCACAAGCACAGCGCTTTCCATAGTTCCAGTATTTTATGTTAACACTGGTTGCCCTTTTATTTTTTATCTGAACAGCATGTATCAGTCCAATCAAATGGCCTTTTGTGGTTTAAGTGCATGTTGTTGCAATTTTCTTGGGTTGTTGTGGCTCAGGAGACAGAGCGGGTCATCTACCGATCGGTTCAATCACCGCTCCAGCTACAGCATCCTTGGGCCAGATACTGTTTTGCTCCTGATGCATTCATCGGAGTTGTTAGATAGCAATCACTTATACATAGAAAAAAGTGCTTGTATGAATTTGTGTGTGAATGAGAATGAGACGTGTTAAATAAACACTATGGGTGCTGAAGAAGAGTAGAAAAACGATATATAGGAATCAGTCAATTTACCATTTACCAGACATGATCATTGTGAGGTTCAAGTACCTTATCAAGGGCAATTTTTTAGAGTTTCTACAAAATGTAAATAAACTAAAATCAATTTAAACAGGAACACTATTTATTTTCATTCACTTGAAGTGTATTGCTTTTTCTTTCCCTATAACAAACAGAAAATAAAAGGAATACAGCAAATACAGGAAAACATATCATACCAGAACATTATGCAATGCCCTATAAACCGTAAGTATCCATGATATCCTCCAGCTACATTTCAGCCTTTATTATCCCAAACAGCATGCACTCAGACAAAAGCTTACCTTCCTTGCCTCTTGGAAGGTTTTATGAAGGCCGATGAAGCATAATTAATAGTAATATGATTTCGTTCCCACTCGGTTAGCAAAATGTTTTTCTATAGCCAAGAACATTCTGTGTTTCCTCACTGGCCAAAAAAAGTACCCCAATTTACTTTTCTTCTCCTGTAGTGACGAAGGCAAAGTGCCAACTTAGTAGCAGTTTGGTCAAATTTAATGCCTTTTTCTAGGCCACTCTGGTGTTGCGCAATTATAAAGGGATTGGAGAAAGTGAACAACAAGACATTTTATTTGATTGATTTTTGAAAATGCAGCATCCCTCCCAGGTCCTGAACCTTTTAACAGCACTGATCCCCTGAGTGCTGGTTTCAGTATTAAGGATAGTTGTATGTATGTTTATGTGTGTGTGTGTATTACATACTCTAATATAGTATATTATAGTATATTATTGCTCTAGGCAGGGTTCCCTCTACTCTGAATTGATTGATCAGTCATTAAAAGCAACAACGCTAATTCACAAATGTGCTTTACATAAAGAAAAGGTCATTGCATTGTTTTGTTTGTATACGTGTATATACACATGCTGTCCCTACAAATAAAGAGCTGAGTTGACATGCTTTTTACAAGGACATATCAGTTCAGTTAAAAAATAAATATTAGTGCCGTTTTCTTTACGCCAACTACCCCAGCAAAGATACAAATTTAACTAAAACGGTTGCTTCTGTTATCAAAAAAAAATGTTTTGGGCCCCAACTTGTTTCAAATTAATGTTTGTCTTTCTCTTGTCATCTATCAGACTGACTCTTTCTCTCACTTTTCTCCATTTCTGTCAGGGATATTCGAGAATATGCCAATGGGTCAGTGTGCGTAGAGTGTGATGGCCAGTGTGAAAGAGCTGACGGTGACTCTTTGACCTGTCTTGGGCTGGTAAGTTTTCTTTTACATACAACAATTTTAAGGCAGATCAAAGCATTATGTTCATACATGTATTTTTAATATAGAAAGTATGCTTCTGAGGAGCACGAGAACATCGTGCATCATAAGTAGTAAGACAGTAACAATACTGTATTTCTGAAAAATGAACTTTACTAC